CCGGCCAGCCTGTCATCACATTCGTCCCGAATGTGCTTTTCACTAATTTAAACTTTACGTGTGTCTAATATCCGCTCACCGGCCAGTGTCCCCTATCTATAAACCATAACTGAGGCACCCCTGGGTCTTGCACGATATTTTTTGATAACACTAAACACTAATCCAAACTTAACGCGTCTAATATCCGCTCATCGGCTAGTGCCTCATATCTATAAACCTTAAACCATAACTGAGACACCCCTGGATCTTGCGCGATATTTTTAACGATGCTAATACTAAACACAATTCAAATGACAGTTCCGAACCGATCTTCCCGAACTTTGACGAGAAAATACGACGAGCTTTACGAATTCCACTTCTGAAGATGTAAGAGTCGGAAAGAAAAGTATATCGGAAGCTGGAGTTTGCTGGGTTGGGACTCGAACCCGGGTCTTTCGCTTGTCGGGCGAACTACTGAGACTACCAAGGCTCTCGCTCAAACACACCTTCTCTCGTTTTCTTATATTGATTTTATTGTTAAGATGCCGCGTATTACCTTAGTTCGGTTTACATCCTACAAATGTATTTGAAATAAAGTGAAATAATTAATAATTTCTTCATAGTGAGACATGAAATTATATTTTACATATTTTATAAAAGATATGAAATACATATTTATAAATATTCCATAAAAATGTAAAATATAGTTTTATGCTTCTGTATAAAAATGAATTCAATTAAAATCAAATATTAGGTGTACAACTTTGCTTCTGTCGTTTTCCTATAGATGGCTTTAGCGGTAAGTGGTGGTCGAAATAAATAGATCATAGACATCATACAATAAACTTGAGCATCTGTCATAACCCTATAGAAACATTAGTCGATTTGTGTCTGCATCATAAAGTTATTCTTGATTGAAAATGTCAGTTCACGAGCCAAATTCTCGTCATTTGCGGGAGGTTTTAATTTTCTGCTTCAATATGAAGAAATCTGCGGCTGAAGCTCATCGAATGCTCTCAAATACTTATGGTGAGGCCGCTATTAGTGAAAGAACGTGTCGTGAGTGGTTTCAACGCTTCAAGAACGGTGATTTTGACGTCGAAGACCGGCATAGCGGTGGAAGAGAGAAGGTTTTCGAAAGTGCAGAATTGGAGGCATTACTTGATCAAGACTTGTGTAAAAATCAAGAAGAATTGGCACGATCATTGGGAGTGACTCCACAAGCCATTTCAAAACGCCTCAAAGCCATGGGAATGATTCAGAAGCAAGGAAGTTGGGTGCCATACGAATTGAAGCCGAGAGATGTTGAACGGCGTTTGTTTGCTTGTGAACAGCTGCTTGAAAGGCAAAGACGGAAGGGATTTCTGCATCGCATTGTGACTGGGGACGAAAAATGGGTTCATTACGATAACCCCAAGCGCAGAAAATCATGGGGAGTTCCCGGCCATGCTTCCACGTCGACGGCCAAACCGAATATTCACGGCTCCAAGGTCATTTGGTGGGACCAGCTCGGCGTAGTGTATTATGAGCTGTTAAAGCCGACTGAAACAATCACAGGCGATCGGTATCGAACGCAATTGATGCGTTTGAGCCGAGCATTGAAAGACAAACGGCCGTAATACAACGAGAGACACGATAAAGTGATTTTGCAGCATGACAATGCTCGACCCCATGTTGCGAAAGTGGTCAAGACATACTTGGAAACGTTAAAATGGGAAGTCCTACCCCACCTGCTGTATTCTCCAGACGTTACTCCCTCTGACTATCACTTGTTTCGATCAATGGCACACGGCCTGGCTGATCAGCACTTCCGATCTTATGAAGAAGTAAAAAATTGGATCGATTCGTGGATCGCCTCAAAAAATGACCAGTTTTTTCGACGCGGGATTCGTACACTGCCCGAAAGATGGGAGAAAGTAGTGGCCAGCGATGGACAATATTTTGAATCATAAATGTATAACCAATTTTTTACAATAAAGCCTCGAATTTCGGAGAAAAAACGGCGGAAGCAAAGTTGTACACCTAATATGAATAAAAGGAGAAAAAATAAAAGCTTCAACCACCGACGACTGATCTGTTGCTTGTAACAGATCAGTTGCAGTAATAACACATCTTACACGGATACATAAAACTGATCAAGGGCTTTACTGTCATCTTAGCATCGCGGGGGCGAAAGTCCCTAACTTACTTTAATTAGCCGTCAACGCGAGTCATTCGGGCCGGCGGACGAGGCCGCCTGTCACAACCAACAGTAATTTTCCTCGGTGTCTGGGAGCGCACGGATTATCCGAATATCGAAGGATCGGCGACGCGACCGCCCGGAGATGCCGTTAATGTAGCCGGAAATTACGGAAGAGACGGCTTTTATCGGGTGCGGTGGAGCGAGCCAAGTGCGCGACTCGGCGTGCGATTGCCTCGGCGCGTCTCGACGACCAAATTGAAAGCCGCGTCGATAATCCGCTTCGACCTTCGCGCCCCGCCACCAGAGAGCCAAGTCGGTCTGCGCGAGACAGAAAGTTAAAAACTCAATGCGCGCGACGTATACGCCGCGGAGACATATTTAATTCAGCAACACACCCAATCCAACGGTTTCAAATGCTTGATTTCCACTGGAAATTAGCTTTTTATTGCTGGAGACGCCGGGATTCAGAATTACTTTATAATGCACAGTTCGCCTGTAATTGGATTGTAATTGGATTTCGTGCGCATTTATTACAGTCAAATTTTTGACTAACATGATTACCACATCGGGGTCAAATGTAATTTCGCAGGCCGCCAGTCGGGAATTATTTAGACTCAACGTCGTGCGCGGCGAAAATTAAACATTCATCGTCCGGCGAATAAAATCGAGTTTCGAACGATCGAGAGACGTATCCATCGCAATGTCGCGCGATGCGGGATTTACGTCGATCAAATCGAGGTGAACGATCGATAAGGACGCTCGATTTCCCATAAATGTTAACGGGACGCGCGGGAAGGGGTGTGCCGGTCGCGCCGGTTTCGTCGTCGTCGCATACCATGGAGAGCTAATTGGACCGCGGATGTACCTAATCGAACCTAATGCGAGCAGCCGAGGCCGTGTCTCGGGCTCCGGTAACGGGCCATGAATTATCGATAAGCCGCAAACGCCGCGCGCCTTCCTCCCGCTATCAATGAAGTCGCACGTGGTACGGGCGACGCATGGCTCGCGAAGACAATGTGACCGCCGTTCTGATAACGGGACATGACTCTTCGAGCACCGTGACAGATGGAGACGCGCGATAGGGTCTAATTAAGCCGAACCGGAGCTACAAAGTGCACGGATGTTCGAGGACGGCGCGATGCAATAAACTGTGATTTCCTAAAAACTACGGAAAGTGCTTGAAATATGTGAGATTCAGCGGAAGTATTTGCGATTGGCAAGCTACTTTATTGTACTTTGCGGTGTTTTGTTCTCTATTGCCTAAAGAAGTCTCGCTTGATACATAAAGAGAATTTTATAGTGAAAATAGAATTTCGTAATCGAGGAATAGATCGGTATTTTTTACAATAATTGACTACATAGAAAAAGAGGACATTCTTGTTTGGAAGATATTTTTATTTTTAATGTTAATTTTCAAATAAATTACGTAATATTATAATAAAAATTATAACACAATTTTAGTACTCCGAGAATAGACTAACACTATGATGAAAATTATAAGACATAGTAAAAGTGACTATGAACATTACCATAAATGTAATAAAAATTGTCATGTATTTATGGTCATTTTCATTATGTTTTATTATAATTTTCGTAATAGTGCCGATCTATTGCCGGACTACTAAAATTGAGAGAATTTTATAGTGAAAATTGCTATAGAATTTCGTAATCGAGGAATAGATCGGTACAATAATCGGTTTACAATAATTGACTATACAGAAAAAGAGGATATTCTTGTGAAAATATCTTTATTTTTAATATATTAATTTTCAAATAAATTACGTAATATTATAATAACAATTACAACACTATTTTAGTACTCCGAGAATAGACTAACATTATGATGAAAATTATAAGACATAGTAAAAGTGACTATGTAAAAATTACCATAAATGTAATAAAAATTGTCATGTATTTATGGTCATTTTCATTATGTTTTATTATAATTTTCGTAATAGTGCCGGTCTATTGCCGGACTACTAAAATTGTATTATAATTTTTATTACAGCATTCTCTTCGTATAGCGTTAAATAAAAATAAATTACTATATATCAATATATTTTATGTTCAATTCAACAAATTACTCTTTTTCAACTCAAGACGATAAAATTCTTTTAACAAAATTTTACATCATTGCTTATATATGAAACAATTATTAATTTGTTAATGTTAGTTTTAAATGAATATACGCGAGTGAATGTTTCAATTGACTAAATTCGTTTCTATAATGGTAGAGTATATCAGATTCACTTCTCAGTTTCGAGTGAAAATATTCATTCGACAAAATGGAAAATCGACTTTATATGAACGAACATAATCTCGCGAATTTTAATGACTTGGCTGTCACTCTGCTTTTGCAGTGGCATTTCACTCGAAGAACTTTAGAGTACAAAGGGGAATGCTGAGCATACGTCAGAATTTTATTCCTCTGTTGTGCAACGGAACGTTACACGATGCCATACCAATGCGTTTCCCATACTCGTTACATAATTCTTTTGCATATTGCAGCTGCACTCTTCGCATGGGGTGTTCATGTATTATACAAAGCGAAACTGCATACGCTGCAACCTTTTTCCACTCGGAAGATTGAAGCTTTCGTTACTCCCCCTCCCTCCCCGGAAATTCCATTATCCCGCAAATACGACTCGAGTGCTGATTGTCTCGGGAAACAATGTCGAACGCGCGCCGAAGTACGTCTACACGTACACGCCACGTGTGCACGTAAACGCCAACTTCGAGTCGAGTCCAGATCCGCCGCTAGACGGCGACATCACGTCTCGCTACGAAAATGTAGTCTCCATTAGCAAAGCAAATATTCCTGTATTCTTTCTGTCCGCAGAATAAATCGAACGAGAACTCGATAAAGCTGAGCAACCTCGGCCTGGAGAGTTCGGGCCAATACAAGTGCGAGGTCTCCACCGAGGCGCCGTCCTTCGCCACCACTTACCAGACGGCCAATCTGACGGTGATTCGTAAGTAGACACGTCTTGCCACGTATCGGACAGCCGATCGATTCGTTTGCGACGTGAAAAAATCAACTGTCGATAGAATTTGGTTTTCCCGATAGAGCCGCGCGCGCCGCGTCTCACCCGAAGTCGCACGAATCCTTTCGGTTGTCCGATGAACTCGACCCTCCATTTCGGCGATAAATCTTTCGCTCCGGATCTCCCAGACTTGTTAAATCCTCCGCGATAAATCGAGATAATATCGTGGCTAGTAATATCCCCTCTCTTTATCTCTCGTTTTACACATAAAATCCTACGGTCCCGTTAATTTCACGAATGCCCAATAGGAACTCACGGCTGGCCGTTTGAGTTACCGGTAACAATATCTGCCATTATAGGATATTTATGTATTGCCGCGCGCGATAAACTATTTCGGTAACAGCGGCGCGACCGGGCTGTTTTATTGTGAAATAGTTGTCCACCGGCTCGCACCGCAAACCATTTCGCACATCCTCGCGCCATTAATTCGTGTCTTGGGTGTGCGCCTAAATATACTTTTTAATTGCACACGCGACCAATCATTTCATTGTGCGCGCGCGTGCAACATGAAAATATATAATGATACCGCGCGACACACGTCCGACGATAATACTTTACACGGTGTGTTCTGCATTATTTAATTGCGCCAAATATTGTTACACATGTCCGCGTGCGAAAGAAATGCAAAATTTATTACTCTTGCAATAATAATGACAACGAAATTTACCGACATTTGCCGCGACTTTTCAGTTTCTAATGGAAAACAATTGCGCGTCAGGAATTCATTAATTTTCTAAGTATCGTTTTCGCTCATACAAGAAATATAATGGGAATATAATGGAAGTATACGCGTGTGTGTAGCTTTAATACTCGTAATATTATCCGATTCGCTCATTTACCAATTAAGTGTGGCATGATCGGAAAATATAAAGTTTAAGGAGCGCGGAAGTGGATGACGAACTTTAAAAATATCGATAACGCAGAGACAATCGTCGGATGAACCTTAAGGGAATGCCATATTTGAAAACTTTATTGACGGAATACCCACTTTTTTCTACAAAGTTTACGTCGTATTGGTTACACAGAATTACAAGTGCTTAACGTACTGAAGACGCATGCAATAAGCAATTGTAGCATTGCTCAATACGAAAATGATAAAAAATTTTTAAATTAACACCACGAGCTACCGCATATTGGTTTCTCATTGTTTTAAGTCATGCTACTTAACACGTTTAAACGTTTTAAATATGTCAAATGGTAAGATTTAAAACAGTAAGAAACGTATAAAAGGGGCTTCAGCCAAATTATGCGTTTAAAAATAACGCGCTTGAATTTGCAGTGCTGTCAAATGGGAGAGAATGGTGGAATGTTGCTAGACAAGACGGACGAATTCGCAAAGTCTCAACCGAAAAATTTCACTTCTCTGTCCATGAGTGTGCATCTTGCCCTGCAATCATCATAATTTTGCATCTTGATGGGCCAATTAAGCGATAAGAGCTGGTCGGTCCGAGCGTTTTACGATATCATACTTGTACTGATTCCATCCGCGTAGCCGACCGTGTCGCCCGTTCGCGACCGTCATTAAATGCGTACGTTTCAATTAACCATTTAATTATGTGCATTACAATTCATACGCGAATCACGTAAAATACGCGCGCCGCGTTTATCATGTTCCCACGCGCCGCTGGAACGGCGTCATAGGTCAGCGACGTTAATTTGCGCCGATCCAATCGTCCCAATAAAATCGGCCGCGTTTCGGGGCCGGGGCGGACGAATCGACACCGCGAAATCATCAACTTTATGTGCGATGGTCGACGGAAGAAAAACAGCATTATCACTGGAGGCAGCGCCGCGCCCGTTGCCGTCGAGGATCAATCAACGCCGAAATTTATCTTCGACAAGTGCCACCGCTCGTGACCCGCGAGAGATCAATTAAATGTACGCCATACGAGCGCGATGTTCCTGCCTCTCTTTTTCTGCCTTTCGCCCGCTTGTTTTGTTTCACCGCCAGCGACGGGAAAGTCGGTTCCGGTACGACAGGTGCCGATGAATAGGTACTCCCGAAAAAATAACGCGTCCGCAATTCTGCCTATCGCTCGCGGCCTTCGATTCTTGGCCACGCCGCGTAAATCACTCGCAAATGACGAGTACGTTTAGGCTGGTGGAGCGCGCTTTATGTAGCCGGCGAGTAGACGAGAAACGCGCGGATTCGCCGGCGACGAATCCGCGCGCGAACGTTCAGTCGCGGGGAGGAAGCAGCCCGCTCCGCGATTGAAAATCGCGTGAGCGCCGCGTCTCAGCTGTCTTTGTTCGTCAGGAATTCGCCGGAAATGGGTTTAAGCAAGGTTGCACGTATTGATCTCTAACCATACTGGATGGTGCATGCCTTTGTTCTCGAGCGGTCAGAAAGAGATAGTTGAGTTTGGGACGGTATACCTTTGTCTAGAGTCCCTATATAAGAGTTTGGCCACTGACCGTTCATGCTCTTATTGGCTGCATTCAATGTAATAAAATAGCTTTTTGTAATAAAATGGCGGCACCAATAAGAAGTAGGACAAAAAGGAGGCAAATTTAAACAGAGGAAGGATATTATAAATGATGGAATACTTATAATCATAGATGTTTAATTATCATAACAGTCAGTTTATTAGTATAAAAATCATTTTTAAACTTAATCATTTAAAAAGTAATCAGTCTTTTCTATTAATTTTTTATATCCATGACGTTTTCCTTGTAGGATCCTTGTTGGTAACGGTCACATAGAAAATTCTTTTTGATAATAATTTTTGCATCCAATAACATAGCAACTTGGTATTTTGACTCCTGCCTATATACATTTGTATTTTAATTATTTATAATCATATAATTTATCAATAACCTCTTAAGGTTGAAACTCTAAGTTTCCTCCATTTGTTTGAGAAAATCCTTTCTGATAATAATTTTTGCATCCAATAACATAGCAGCTTGGTATTTTGACTCCTGTATACATTTGTATTTTAATTATTTATAATCATATAATTTATCAATAACCTCTTAAGGTTGGAACTCTAAGTTTCCTCCATTCGTTTGAGATATGTTCCACACAGCAGGAATATCCCAAATATATCATAAGGATATCTTAAAGATATCGCATATCCCAAATATATCTTTAGGATATATCCGTATGATATATTTTGGATACCCCTGCTGTGTGGGGTAACGTATACTTTACTATGCATTCATTTAATATGTAAGTAACAATATAATAGTTTTACTTACTTCAAAGATGAATTAATTCTTCATTTACAATAGTGTAAAACAATCAAGAAAAAAAAAATTATTAACGCACGGAATTATTTCACGATGCGACCGACGCCATTTTATTACAAAACCTGCTGAGTGACCAGACTCTATGTATAGGGACTCTATCCTTGTCTAACTAATTCGAGGTACCACGTGACTCAATATACAACCCACTCTGAAAACATTAACACACATTTCTCATTCATCGAAACAGCATATATATATATATATATATATATATATATATATATATATATATATATATATATATATATATATATATATATATATAAGAGAGAATAAATGACACAATTCTTTTAGATAACGTACACTAGCAACGATAGCAATTTTATCTTATCGAATAACGAGTGGTATCGGTCAGTTCGTCGCTCACATATCGTAACCGATGTTTTTAGTCACGGTGATTTACGCTTGAAAGAGGCAACTACGTCCCAATTCGACTACCTCTCTCTGACCGTTTGGTAGCGTGAAGGGGGTAGGCAGTGAGCCTTCCGTATGGTTATAGTTCAATGATTGCACATTAGGTCGTGCAGGTCGACTCTAATGCAATTCGATCACTCCTCGGTCGCATTGATCAGCGCGGCAGGAATAATCTTCTTTCAAAACGTCAGTTTCATGTTCGCCTCTCTATTGCCGTCGATAATTATAATTGCGATCTCGTGCACTCGTCGAGGCTCCGCATGATGCGAGATTTCGATAATTCCTGCAGCCAAAGTGTAACGACCAGATGCGACGAAGCCAAGTGAGTGTCATTACTTTATAAATAAACGTTCTCAAAAAGAATTTCCACCGCAACGTGGCGATTTGATTCCTGTTTGATGGATAGTACGGTGTTTTGCTCCCGGAGAACGAGACAAAAGAGCAACGGGCGGCGGAGGACGGAGGGGAAGAGGAAACGGAAACTGGCCAGAGTGGAAAAAGAGAAACGCGTAACTGCAAAAGAGAACGTCCAGTTTTGCGAGCTCTGCCCGTCGACCACGCGAAATTTGTTTCTGTCTGTTGCGAAGGTGCCGCAGGAACGACCGCTCCTCACCCCCTCTCTCTTTCTCCCTCTGTCTCTTTTTCTTTCTCTCCCTCCCACTTCCCCTCTCTTTCTCTCTTGTTTCCTCTCCTCCTCGTCGAACAAAAAATTTACATCGTTTATCACCATACATCATCGAAAAAAGAAGCGAAAAAAAACGTATTCGTCTGTCCCGTGGAATATTTTCGCGGGTGCGAGCCTATCTCCGTTCTGGATTCGGTCCCGGCCGAATTCGCTGGCGCTGTCGAAGTGTTACGACCGTTCCGATCGAACGCAAATTTTTGACAGCCCGCGACCGCATTCACTTAAAAGTTGTGTTTTTTTTTTTTTTTCATTCGCGAACATCGTGCCCGACCTGAAATCGCACGGCCGCCGTCCGTTCGTCAGTGATATTTGAAATTCAGTTTAATCCGGGTTTCGCAAAACCGCGCACGGTCGATTTAAAGATTCAGATCGATCGGTCGCGGCGAAAATCGCGCCACGCCCGCGCGATCCATTATTGAAGAGTAAGTTCGTGTGTTCGCGCGCGGGCATAGTGCGTTGAAAGGAATTCGATAGCTATAATCGCGCGGGATGAAATTTTGCGCGTGTATCTCGCAATCGTATCCGATAAAGAAACTCTGCCAAATTGATCGGACGCGGATACGTCCATCGATCGCGCGGC